ATAGAATAATAATAGAATAGTAGAATAGAATAGAATAGAATAGAATAATAATAGAATAGAATAATAATAGAATAGTAGAATAGAATAGAATAGAATAGAATAATAATAGAATAGAATAGAATAGAATAGAACAGAATAGAACACTTTATTGGCCAAGTGTATTTGGACACACAAGGAATTTGCCTTGGTGTAAATACTCTCAGTATACATAAAGAAAAAAATACATTCATTAAGAATCGAGAATCATCAGGTACAACACTTAACGACAATCATAGGGTACAATCAACAATCAAATCCTACTAGGAAACAGTCACTGTAAATCGTAAGGATACAAGCGACAAAGTTACAGTCCTACAATCACAAGTGGGAGGGGATGGGTGATAAGGAGGGATGAGAAGATTAACAGTAACAGTAGTGCACACTTTGTAAATAGTTGGACCGTGTTGAGGGAATTATTTGTTTAGCAGAGTGAAGGCATGGGGGGTGGGGGGAAACTGTCCTAGTTCTGGTGTGCAGGGCTCTATAGGTCATTTTGAGGGAAGGAGTTGAAACCGTTTGTGTCCGGGATGTGAGGGGTCTGTAGATATTTTTACAGCCCTTTTTTGACTCAGTGCAGTATACAGGTCCTCCATGGAAGGCAGGTTGGTAGCCATTGTTTTTTTTGCAGTCCTAATTACTCTCCGGAGTCTGTGTCTGTCCTGTTGGGTTGCAGAACCAAACCAGACAGTTGTAGAGGTGCAGATGACAGACTCCATCATTCCTCTCTATAGAAACCCTATATAGCAAGTTGTTAAGGCCGCCTGGAGGTTATCTGTGTCCTCAGGGTCACCTGAGTAGTGCAAATGGGCGTGGGCCTTCTTGGAACTCAACAGAGGTGTGGGGAGGCATCGTCTATCTCCAATCTACAACACAGTCCTTTCAACGGTTCCAAGAACCTGAGCCCTCACCCTCACCCTCTCCCACCAAGCCATGCCCACAGAACCGGTAGTAAAAAAAAAAAATTGGAATCCCGCCACTGATTTCTATTCGATTCGATTCTTCCTCTCTCTAGCCCCCAGAAGAGGCACCGCCGGAGACCTTCAAGAAAGTGGCCTTTGAGTTTGAAATCCCGGTCTGCAAAGGTGTCCTTGACTACGCGGCGACCGACCTGGTGCAGTTCAAGCAGTACTGCTGCCTCTTCTGGGGGAGCCTCTTCTCCTTCCTGCAGCAGGTGGAGGCTCTGATGAAGGACTACGCCGTCCCGCTGGCCATCGTCATGGGGAAGAGAGCGATGGACCTCGTCCCGCATTTTGAGCTAAGCCAGAGGGCCACCCGGGAGGAAATCCTCTCGGTCTTAAAGAACGTCTCCACCGTCCGGAAGCTTTTAAAGCAGCCCGGCCGGAGGTACAAAGGCCAAAACGGGACCCAAAAGGCAGCCACCAAGATCCAGGCGACGTGGAGGTGTTACAAACTGAGAAAGTCCTACATCGGGTTCCGGCATCAGCAGTGGGCCTCGGGCATCATTGCCATTTCTTGGCTGATCCACGTTCACCTGCAACGGGTCCGAAAGACGCTGAAGGAATCTCGGCAGAAGCACCTGGAGAACTTCCGCCTCAGGAGCAAGGTAGCTGCTTGGCCCCTTTGTCTCAGCATCCCTGCCCAATGATTGCAATCAAATGTTCCTTTCTCTCCCCCCCCCCCCCCCCCCCCCCCCCCCCATTTAACTCTACCCTTGTCCAAGCATATTTTACACATCATTAAATGTGCAGTCTTTGGTACCTACAGTCTGCCTCCATTCCCCCACATCCCTCCCTCACAGACAACTGCTGCTTTTCCTTTGCGGCGTGAAACGGGGAGAACAAAATCCCTTCTTGTCCAAAAATGTATGCGGTAGGTTTGGAATAGGCGGCTTTTGATTGCATTTAGCGCTGCACTTCTTTAGGGATCGCTTCGGTTCTGCTCTCTTTTTAGTTTTCCTGACTTCAGGTTTAAAAGGCGCAACCCAGAAAGAGGGGAGGGAGATGAGACAGTGGGTGGGGGAGGGCATTAATAGCCAGACTGTTGTTCGGTGACAGCTGTCAACGGTCCAGCTTCTGCCAGTGCCAAGCCCTGGACATCCTTACGTCCTTCCCTGCCTCCGTCCTCTCCTTCCAATTTTACTAGATACCCGGACAGGACTATCATACTTTCAGTTTTATCCGTAGATTATTTTTTTTTACCTTTCGATGCCATTTATAGCCTGCCTTTTCCCGGTCAGGTAACTTACACAAGGGGTCTAGCAGAAGTTTAAAACAGAAACTCCCAAGATGCTATAAGTTATAGATCCACGCGTCCTTAAAAGTGGCTGTGTTTGAGAAACTCTGCCTGAGGGTTTTTTTTAAAAGCAGCCAGGGCAGGGGCTGAATTTTGCATCGGTGGAAATTCTAGGGTTCAAGGGCCGGCTCCATGCAGAGCACACCGCGGTAGTCAAGATGGCGGAAAGTCAGGGCGTGGATTCCGTGTCCCCAAGAGACACTTTGGTGTGGCCCGACCTCCTCCGGCAGCAAATGGGGTGCCTTCTCCCCACCTTTCTCTCCCCTACTCTCCCTTTCCAACACAATACCGTGCGCTTGATTTGTGGCCCACAAAAACAATCTCCCTCGCCTCTGTGGCAGTCCCTACTTTGTCAGAAAGTACTTAAGTTTGCAGACAAGCTTTTAATTAGTGCTCACCATTTCATTTATGTTTGCTTTCTCTCTCTCTCTCTCTCTTTTTTTCATTCATATTCTGTTAATTAAGTGATCAGCCTCTAATCTTCCCCTGCCAGTAGCTTCATGTAGCCATCTAATTAAATTAATTGGGGAAGATGTTTTAAGTATGTGATTAAATCAATTAATATAATTTATGCCTGGCTTAACTGTACAGTGGGAAAAAAAAAACGGAGGAGGGGGAACAGCTGAAGTTCGTCTGGGTTGCATCCGCGGCAGGTCCCTCCTGTCACTGATCAATGCCTTTCCTTGATTTTTAGCATCTGGCCGCCAACTGGAATCGCATCAGGAGCTCTAGGAGGACGATTATCCATATCCCATCGTTAGGTAGAGGAACGCTTTTGTCTCTGGGTCTTTCCGCAACCCCTATTACACACCGCATTATGACTCCTTGATTGAGTTCAAGGAAGGCCTTGTTTTATTCAAATTGGTCTCGGCAGGAAAATGTTGTCGACATGATGAGAGTAATAACACAGGGCCTTCACTTGAAACGGCAGCGTTTAATTTGGGGATTAAGCGAATAAACTCATTATGTAGAGGCCGCTATTCAGCGGAGAGGTGATTTGCGGTAATTCGCTTCCTTCTGTATGAAATGAACTAAAAAGTTGTCTTCTCTCAGCCACCCCCCTTCCCGCCCTCCCTTTTTCTTCGCTCGCTGCCCTCCCCTTAAAAAAAACCCGCCCACCCCCCCCAGCCTCACAGACAGGGTTTCTGCGTGCCTCCTTCCACAAGGAGGGGATGTGGGTTTGCTGGCTTGGGTGCCGTTGCGCCGATAAGCCAGGATGCTTCTTTGCACCTTGCTTTTAATCAAATGTGCAGTCAAAATGATAAGCCGCCTTCTCTGAAATTATTTAGTTCTAATTACGAGCAGATGGGAGGGTTTATTTGCACCTTGGGCGCCTAGCGAAAGGAAATGCTGTGGTGAACAAGAATAATTAAGAAGTTGAATAGTGGGGTAGTTTTTGCGTGTATGTGTGTGTGTGTGTTTAAATAATCCGCAGCTCCATGTTAATTAGCACTCGGGTAATTATTTAATTACATTTATGAATTGGGGGGCTTAAGAGCCGTTTCCCTGTGCATCAGTGGGGTTTTTGCAAGCCAAGATGTTCCTCAAAAGGATCTCTCTAGGACATGGCTGTTAATGGGAGGAGCGGCCCGCGTTTTAAAATAAAGCAGCTAGCTCTCTTTTAATTGGGGCCAGACAGAAAACGTCTCCACAGAAGATATCCAAGCGGCCTTCCTTTTGATTGCAGCCTTTCATGGCCGTCGCTGCTGCGGCTGTAGAGTTTGCGGAGAGCAGTCCACTGAACGGCTGACGGAAGGGCCGGCTCTGAGCGTCCTCGGCCATCACTTCCACAGCTCTGCTCTTCTCCAGACCCCCTTTAAAGTCTCAAGTGAAGCTGGCAGGGTGTTTAATCTATATTTAGTCTAGTCAGAGACCAGAGCAAGTGAAAAACACTCAAGGAACGTCCAGTTAAAAAAATTCTAGAATTAAATAATAAATAACAGATCAAACCTGGATCAAAATCACCAATCAGTCAGTTGCACACAAGCAAAACGCAGCATGGCCTCACTATAATATCAGTCCTTAAATTGTGAGGCCCAAAATGCAGGAGAGTGATAATGCAAACGGGTTTGCTGCATTAATTGTGTAAAACAGCGATGATGGATTAATCACCTGTTTCTGATGAATTCCCACCGCTGCTGCGCAGAATCTTGGCACCTGCGGTGAAGCTTGCAGTATTGCACATCACAAAATTTCTCTTTTCTTTCTTTCTTTCTTTCTTTCTTTCTTTCTTTCTTTCTTTCTTTCTTTCTTTCTTTCTTTCTTTCTTTCTTTCTTTCTTTTTTAAAAAAATAAACAAAGTTTCTACTGCTTTTGATTGACATGCAAGCACCACTTTAGAAAATCCTCGGTTTCTTAAAAACAGATCCTTCCAGGAATCCTGTCTTGGGTACAGTAAAAAGTCAGGGGGGCTTTTCAGGACGTGGAAAAAAATCAATATCATTTTTGCCCCATAGCAGTTTGTGGGACTCGATCTAATGGATGATTTTGCACATTTTTTTCTTTTGCCATGTGATCCACTAACATCCTATTTTAATGCTACTTAAATAACTGCTGAATAAGAGAATCTAGCTATTATTACAAACCTGGGAGAAGATGAAGAACAGCCTCCTGATCAGGAAACCCAGCTAAATCTAGAGAGTTTCTCAACTTCCAACAACTTTAAATAGGCGGACTTCAACTTCCAGAATTCCCCAACCATACAGGCTGGAGAATTCTGGGAGTTGAAGTCCACCGCCCTTAAAGTAGAAGAGGTTGGGAGATTCTGCTCTGGATCTTGCCCTTCTATAGAAGCTATACAGTGATAGAGGTGGGAACTCCGTAAACGTTGAGTTAAATCCCCATCTATGAAACCTGACACTAGTCTGCCACCGTTTTATTCGTTGCGGGCGCCTTTGAGATCCAAATGCTTTAGCATCTTGGAATATCCCAACCGTTTGAACCAGGTGGTTCAAAAGTCTCCTGTCGGGGTGTTAGAAGACCCCTGAAGTCCCTACCAGCCCTGCCATCTCATGTTCCATGCCTGTTTCCTGTCTTCATTCTCCGTGCAGTTGGACACACTGAGATACTTAGGCTTTTGACTTTTGAGGTTGGTCCTTGATCTCCATTAAGCACTAGAGAGAATCAGGTAGATCTATAGTATGGGAAGGTCCACCCCAGTGAGGAATCCCCCGCTGAGATGGCACCCCAGGCCCAGGAATGAGTTTCCTTGCAAAGCTCTTAAGAATTTTCATCCAGGCTTGCTTTTCAAAGTAGTTATACAGGTGAGGCTCAAAATAGACTTACATACTCATGGAGTATGGCTGTATTCTTATCTTTTTTTCTTATCTTTTTCCACTGTCTTCTCTTGGTATCTTATGATTATAATATTTTGTTGTTTGTATACACTGAGGGTTTATGCCCTAGAGATAAATTCCTTGTATGTCCGTTCACACTTGGCCAATAAAGAATATTCTATTCCATTCCATTCCATTCTTTCATAATTCTACTGTTCTGTTCTGTTCTGTTCTGTCCTGTCCTATCCTATCCTATCCTATCCTATCCTATCCTATTCTATTCTGTTCTATTCTTTTGTAATTTTGTTCTATTTTTATTCTATTTCTATTGTAATTTCATTGTATTCTATTCTCTACACACAGACAGAGAGAGAGAGAGAGAGAGGGAAGGAGAGATTGTGGTAGATTTTTTATTTTTCATTCAGGATCAAAAAAAACTAACCATCATGCTATGGAATGGAGGGATTTTTCTCTTGGAGAGACTGTTAGGGTTTTTCCCCATTGTGCCAGTTCTGATCTTTTTTTGGCTTCTACCTGTCTCTGGAAGTGCCTGTTATACTGGACTTTGCCTTGTTCTGTGGGCAGTTTGCGTTTTGCACCTTTCTGTCCCAGTAATCTGCAAGACCATTTATGACAACTTAAAAGCATTTACGCGAGTAAATTGTATTATCAGAAGGGGAATTTTTCCCTCTCAATGAAATCTTTTGGAGCAGAGTATCAGAAACTACTCGGACCTTACATATTTTAAGATATCCCGGTCTGCTGAAATGGATTGAATTTAGATTACCTTTTTGATACCATTGTCTCTGAGAGCTAAACGGAACTTCGGTCTCCAGAAGCATACATCCAACGATAAAAACAGATGTAGCTCATGGCAGTCACGTTCAAAATCTTCCAGTAAGCCTTTTGAAGCATTTGTTTGGCAACTGCTGAAAACAAGCTGTTGTGCTAGCTAGAAAGGTAATTTGTTTTCCTATAATTAATTTTCAGTTGTCAGATTTCGTTCTGTGATCTTCCCCCAAAGACAGAAATTGAATGGCACATCTAAAACGCCTCCTATCCTGTTTGCCCAAAATGGGTACATGGGATACAACTTCCTAGGTTTCTAGAGGAATCTGCGATTCCATTTGCAAGATTCCAGAGGCCTTAATATGCAATTCAAAGGACAAAGCATTATTTTAATCTTGTTAGCAAACCGTGCTATAACAGCAGCACATCAAACCTGCACTTATATTAAGCAGCACTTGGTATCGATTTCCTGACAAGCTGCCCTACTGACAATTGATCTTTTTTCTTCTCTTTTTAATGCTAAGATCGTTCCTATGCAATTAGCTTAATTTCAAAATCTTTCTGGATGCGACTCTCCAAAAGTGTTAAACAGAAAACATTTTATAGGAATCGTGAAAATCGCTCTGAAGTATTTATTTTATATCTTACTCACATATTCCCAGAGAAACAGACTTCAGCCAGCCAGCCACAGCAGCATGTGCACGAAAACCCTCAGCGCATTACATCACAAAAGGGCCCAGCAAAAACCCTGCTTGTATTGTGCAATCCAGATGTCACATAATTGCAAATTAAAATGCTTTAATGCGAAAGAGAGAGCAAGAGAGAGAATATGTTTGTGAAAATTCAATTAATTTTGTTTTAACGGAAAGTGTTCTAGTTTTAATTATTCTATCAGGAAAAGACAACCGAGGCTTTAAATGGAGATGATTTTAGTATTTGTGATTTTAATTGTCTCGGTTTTAGCTTCAGTTTTGTCTTGTGATGTTTTTACATCAGCTGTTCTGAGCACTATGTGAACAGAAAGGTGGGTGAGATAATTCAAATAAAACCAAATACATTTGCTTATTTTTTTATACTAGTAAATATAGATCGGTATACTGAATTGTGCAGTAAAGTTGCATGTCAATTTATTACAACAATCCTCCTTAACAGACACTCAATTTATTTGAGTGTTGTCATACTATCATTTTAAGATCTAGTTCTATTAATTGCTTTTCTTTACGACGTTTCCCAGTTTTCACCAGATCTCAGAGAAATAATAGCAAACAAAATAATTAGAATTCAATAAGGGAGAATGCTGCGTTTGAACTTAGGATGCTGTATTTCTCGATGATGATTATGATAATTATTATTATTAGCAATTCTTGTTCCTAATTATTTAAAAGCCAGATTAGGGTTCTAGTAATACATTCCAAAAAAAATCCCCTACTTTATTGGAAAGTACGGCTGTGTACCTGATTCAGAATTAGTCTAGTGTACAATTTTTTTTTCAGATTTCAGTTATTCAGAACACAGGGTAAGTACTTTGCACCGTTTTTCTTCTTTTTTGATAGATGACTTGGTCTTGTATTTGTCGAAAGTTGAGCTCAGTAGTTCTTATCTTAGGTCTCATTTTTAATGTTATTAATTTTTCCGGAAAATTTCTGAAAAGTAAGTGGAAGGCTGAATTCCTTCTCCTCAGCAAAAATAAAAATAAGAGCACACAACCTTCCACGGATGGGATGCGTGTTGATCAGTTGCGGTGCTTTCTTTCAGGATACAAGCAGTCCCTTCGAGAGGCCGACCCAGATTTCGCTGTTCTTCAGGGATCGCAGTTTGGAAGGCTGTGCGAGATCAAAGGTAGACTTTCCTTCCAGCCGCTCTGCCTCTATTATGCTTCCAAAGAAAAGGGGCGCCGTTCAGTGGATTCATATTTCTGAGCCAACAGATTGTGCCCTCATTGCCATTTTGAAGGCTTATATACTAGCTAAACTGCGACGAGGCGTTTGGCTTTCATTTACCAGGTTACACGAACCCAGCTTATTATATCCTAATCAGACTTTCTTTATTTTTCCTTGTAGACGTTTCACTTCTCATCCAAGAAGCTTCTTCAGTTCTGACCGAATGGGGGAAGCTTCTTGGATGAGAAGTGAAACGTCTTTCAAGAAAAAATGAAGGAAGTCCAATTGCCTCTTGAAAAAAAAAGCACCTTTGTAACAACCATGACCTGGATTCCTGGGAATTTCCATAGATACACATCATAATTCGGCAAGCCAGGGCTTTATGTAATGTATAAACTTAGTTAATGTCTGTCAATTCCTATGCAGAAATTACTGGCAGCCTCGAGTGCCCAAAAGCTCATTAAAGTGCTTTTCAATATCAATACCAGTTTTCTCAACTGTGCCAACTTTAAGACCTATTAAGAAGTCCTGATCTACACAAAGCATCGGATGTCATTACCACATAATGTGGTGCTGTGTGCTGTGCTATCCCACTCACTCACACGTAAAGGTGGTGTAGCAGGTTTATTAATATTCCCCAGCACTTCTCTTCACCAAAAACCCAGAACTGTCCCTAATTAAGTCCAGCCACAAGCAGGATACAGGTCCTCTGTGGATGGCAGGTGGGTATAATTGTTTTTGAAAGCTTTAAAGTTTTAAACTTAAGCTGAAAATTAAATATAGGCATCTAAGACATATGAGTGCTATTGTATGTCTTCTGGTTTGTTTATTGCGTTATTAAACATCACTAAATAAATAACTAGTCCATAGGTATGTGCATGTAAATCATGCATAATTTGCCCCTTAGTGGCTCTTGATAAATTATCTCATATTTGTTTTAAGAAAGAATTCTGTTGAAAAACCGGTGATCGGATTTCTTAGCAAGTTTCACAACTCTGCGGGAGATCAGTGGGTATCGAATACATTGCCTATTGATGTGAGGTTGTGTACTTTTGAGTAAAGTTTCCACGTGGCGCTGTTGGCCATTTAACATGGTGCTCAGTACAAACCCTAGTTTATCTTCACGGCACGCTTGAGAGGGAGACATGGGGTTTTCCCGGTAAGTATGATATGGAGGTTTTTATGAAAGAATGCAAAGAACTTCCACTTGGAACTCGGAAAAAAGCACGAAGGGAGGCGTGAGATTGTAATTGCAAAGGTGCTGTATTGTTGGAATCTGACCTATGAATCACTACCCAGCAAGCTTCCCAGGAAGGACTGGCTCAGGAATTCTGGGGGTTGGAAGCCCACACGTCATAAAAAGGCCATAGTTCCCCATCTCTGACCTGAAGAGATACAACGTAAAACTGGAAGAGTTCCTTCTTTGGGTCTTCCCCTTTCGCTCTTTTAACAGAAGAGCAAAAAATATTAATTTGTCAGTGGCCAAGATTGCTGGCTACCCAGAATGACACATTCTACATGATTCATGTATATTTCAGCATCATTATTATTTCATAAATGCCATTTGCACAAAAATCCTCAAAATTTATGGGAGCCTAAAATAATAACTTAATTGCCCGTATATATTATGAAGGCACTAATGTTGTTTTGTCCTCAGTGCAACTCTTCTATATTGTGGTGTTTATTTAGGGAGAGATTTGTTACCTCTGAAGGAGTTAGAAAGTTATAGGCAGCCTGCAACCACACGTGGCAAGCAGGCAGCTGCTCAGACTGGTTCGGACATGAGGTCTGATTCTCGGAAGAAGAGCATCCTAGAAAACATCCCAAAGGTGCTTTTTTTCAGGAGGCAAGTGGACTTCCTTGTTTTTCCTTTTAAAGACGTTTTGCTTCTCCTCCAAGAAGCTTCTTCAGCTCTGACTGGATGGTGGGGAATGGAAAAAAAGCACCTCTGGGACAACCATGATTTGGATGACTGAGAATCTCTACAGAATCCAAGAAGATACGTTTTGTGGGACCGTTCCATTAGTCAGCAGGGGATGATTGGGTTTGAATGGGAAACCTAGTGATTTTGGGAGTCTTCTTCAGTCCCCACAGCCGGCCAGAGGTATGTGGAGTGTGCTACTTCCCTCGCACCTTGCATTTCTCAAGGCTCTGCTCGATTTGAGGGGCCCAACTTGGCCATTTGCGTCCATTGTATTTTTAATGGTATTAAGCTTTCTGTTCTTTCTGTTCTCATCTTGCTTTATTGTTTGCTGCCCGGGATCTATCTTTCTTTTTTTATTCATTTATCAAATATAGAAATCACCCATCTCCTTAACGGATAGGTGGCCTACAACTACTTTAAGACAATGAATAAATTTATCGACAAAATCTAAAGGCTCACCCCCCTGTCTGCATTATTTACTTTAGCTCCCCAACTCTGCTCTTGAGAAGTTCAGGCATGGGGACAAATATCTACAGAGAATTCTTCCCACATCTCAACAGTCTTGTGATCCGCCATTCATTTCCGTTGGACGTCCTGCTCACCTAGCTTTTAGAAAGCACCCAGCGAGCCCTCTGCTTTGCTTGCTCTTTCTTGATGTCACTCTTAAGATAGGGAGACTCATTTTGCACCTGTATGTTCCTTTTTTTCCCCCTTGTTTGGACAACACCATTGAGTTTTCTAAAGAAACCTTTCCTTTTTCCACTGCAAACTCATGGATTCATAGTGGTGGCTCCTTGGGCTTTGCTGGCTTCGCCTTTGGTCGCTTCCCAATTTCAGTAATCTCATCTTGAAAAGAGCAGATCTGTCTGAAAGGAAGTTTAGAAGGAGAGTCCTCAGCCCAGGGCCTTCATAACAATTATGCATATTTTCTCTCTCTCTCTCCCCCCTATTTTCTTGCCTACATTAAACAACAAACAAACCCACAATCGGAGCCAATCAACAGATTACAGATTACCCCTCGAATAAAACAGGATAGCAGGTTCCAGTATCGGAGGGGCTCCTACAAAGAAGAGAGTCAAACTATTTTCCAAAGCATCAGAAGGCAAGAAAAGAAGCAATGGATGGAAACTCATCCAGGAGAAAAGCAACCTGAAACGAAGGAGAAACTTGCGAGAGCAACTAATCAGCGGAAGAGCTTGACTCCAGAAATTGTGGGTTTTCACGGGAGGTTTTTAAGAAGAGACCGGACAGCCCTTTGTCTGAAATGGTACAGATTCTCCTACTGGAACGAGAAGACTTCCAAGGTCTCTTCCAACTCTGTTATTCTGTTATTAAAAGTCAGTACAAAAGAGAGCCCAAAACTTTTGCTGATCTTCTACCGTTCTTTATTCCTTTGATTTATCCTGATCTTGCAAAATACTTCATCTCATACAAGTAACTTAATTCACCTGCCCGCTTATTTTCTTATTATTGTGAAGCTTGGTCTCCGGGGCTGAGGTGCTTTGTCAGTGCATCTCCCCATCTGCTGAAGGTCTTGGAATACAAAGCGGATGCAGGCTGGCTGTGAATCACAAGCACAATGAGGCCGGAAAGAAAAAGCAAATGCAGTTTCAAGCTACATCGACAGAAGTACGATTTCCAAATCACAGGAAGTAATCATCCCATTACAGTCTGCTTTGATCCAAGCCTATTTTAAATACTCTCTCAAATTCTGATCACCGCATTTCAAGAAGGATTCTGAGTAAGCGCAGTGAGGGGTAGAAATAAGGGCCTGTGAAAAGAGGGAAGGAATTGAGAGTATTTTAAGATTAAGACGAGAAGGGAAATACTGTGTATTAGGATTCGCGGTGGCGTAGTGGTTAGAGTGCAGTACTGCAAGTTACTTCTGCTGCAGCCAACTACCTGCAGGCTCCAGGTTGACTAAGCCTTCCGTCCTTCCCAGGTGGGTAAAATGAGGACCCAGATTGTTGGGGGCAAAAGGCTGACTGTGTAAACTGCTTAGAGAGGGCTGTAAAAGCACTGTAAAGCGGTATATAAGTCTAAGGGCTGTTGCTATTCTTCCAACAAAAATGGAACTGGAGGGCTTTTGGGTTGCTTACCTCTGCAGTGCCACAAGCACAAAGCTCATTGCTTAGAAGTAGGTCTAAGAAGGCATTCTAACTGCTCCATAGTACGACCTTCTTTGGCGGGGGAAAACTACAAAGCAAGATTAATTTATTTTATGAGATGACTGTCTCTGCTGATTTCTAAGAGCCGGTAGCTGAGCTTTGTATAGTCCAGTGTTTCTCAACTTCATCAACTTTTAAGATGGGTGGACTTCAACTCCCAGAATTCCCATTTAGAGTGCTGGCTGGGGAATTCTGGGAGTTGCGGTCCAGCCATCTTAAAAGTTGATGAAGTTGAGAAACACTTGATAGGGTCAAGCTACAAAGCCAGTCATTGAGCTGTGTTCCCTGAGGTTTTGCGCTGGTATTTTGCAGACTTCATTCTGAAAGCCAGTTGTTCCTCAAGTTGTATGCTTTTAGCAAGCAGGATGGAACCGAGGAGTAAAAGAAGGAACACCAAGTTAAAGTACCTACTTTCTCAGGTTATAGGATAATGGGAAACTGCAAGCAATGTTACCTTTTTGTCAACGATTATCAGTGTGTCTTGGTTTTTTTTCCCCTTTCTCCTGTTAAAGACGCAAATGTGGACGTCATCTATATTTGCCCCTTAGAAGTAAGTGAAGAATTGCTGCGGTACTACAATAAACTCCTGGGTTTGCAGCCAGCCGTTCGGTCTGGGAACCCCGAGGACATTGGTGACCTACAGGACAGGTTCAAAATCCTCACCCCTGAAGCCATCAACAGTTTTCCTGTGAGTTTGTATCTTCTAATTACTATAGCTGGGGGGAATGCCGTAAAATTAAATTGGAAATTTTATAACTTGCAACGCTCCGGTACCCATCAGTGAAATATTATTGCAAGTGTTAAGAGCTGCACAGATTAAGTGACTAGTTAAAAAGAGTGTTAGAAATAAAAGCCCAGTTGAGTTTTTTTCAGGCTGAAAGCTGAGCTCAGCTAAGGCCTTCACCGCTGATTTCTGCCCAATGCCTGGCCCCTTTTAAAATGGTGAACTTCAGAGGTTGACTGCATTACGGAAAGCAAATTGCACAAAACACTGCTCACATATCCCGTGGCTGAAGTGTGCAGAGAGTCCCTATTTTCTAGTATATATTCTTTTATACAAACACACCCACAATTATATATGTGTGTGTTTTATGTGTGTGTGTATATACTGAGTGTGCATATGTATACACAAACACAGTATATATGTATGTGTGTGTGTGTGTGCATGTGTAGATAAAAATATTCTGTATTATATTTTCTATTATGTATTATCCTACCCTCAGGTACAAAGAGTTGCACTTGATAGTAGGACAAGAAGCAGTGGATGGAAACTCGTTAAAGAAAGAGCCAACCTGGAACTTAAAGAGAAATTTCCTGACAGTGAAAACAATTAATCAGTAGAAAGCAGTGGTGGTATTCTACTGGTCTGGCCCAGTTGGGAGTGCCACCCAGGGGTGGGATTCTACCAGTTCGCACCTATTCACTAGAACCGGTTGTTAACCTTCTAAGCAGTTCGGAGAACCGGTTGTTAGAAGAAATGACTGGGCTAATCCTGTAAGGAAGGCAGGAAGGAAACATTCTGGTGTTGCTTACAGAAACTGCCTCTCCGTTGACCCTTTTTACATTCTTGGCAGGACTAGACTTCCTGTCTCAGGAACTTCTCTGGAGTTTTTTCCCCTCCTTTGCTGGTACTTTGCTTGTGTGGAGTCACCATTCAAAGCTACAATGGCACTGAAAAAAGTGACTTATGACCATTTTTCACACTTACAACTGTTGCAGCATCCCCTCAGTCATGAGAGGTCAGGCGAGGAGATGCGTGCCTCGATGTGAGTAATGTTGAATTGGCCACACCCAGCCAATAACATGACCACCAAGCCATGTCCACCCAGTCACATGACCACCAAGCCACGCCCACCAACTAAGCCACACCCACAGAACCGGCTGTTAAAAAATTTGAATCCCACCCCTGGTGCCACCAAAGCAGTTTTCTCGGCCACTCTTATTTAGCGTATGATGAGAACGTGCCAGAAGAGGAGTAAACATATATACACAATCCACGTAATTATAGGTAAAAATTCTATGGGAGTATCGCAATGGCCTCAAAACCGGATGTCCAGTTCAGCTGTCCGGACCTCTGGCATTGCTTGAGATGGATGGATTTGATTGCCCCGGCCTGTCAGTCCCCATCTCACGGGGTGGATGTTGTTGGAAAAATCAAAGGGAAGAGTATTAGACATGTTTGCTCCCTTGATCTATTTATAAAAATAAGTAAGGTGAGATTTAAAAAAAGAAATAAAAAAATAATATACCCTCCCTAAAGGACGGGTTCTCTTGTCCCGTAGATTTTTTTGATCTCGCTGCAATGCAAGTCCCATCAACTCTGTTGAAGTTGGTGATCTTGTCCGTATCCCAAGGGTTGCTTATTTATTTCTGTGCATGAAATATAAAACCTTTTCACAGCAAGAAGATTTCTGGGTCATTATTAGAACTATAAAATTACGATGCCTTTCTCTCCGAGAACTCTGTTTGGGTTGTACTATCACAACAGGCATATCTGCCAGCTCTTAAATTTTGTGCTGTTACAAGCTTGTTTGTATGGTTTAGCCGATTCATTGTTTTATAACGGACATTGTTAAATACGTGGCTTGGTGCCACTTTCCAGAAGCTGTGATACGAGCCCCTTTTTGGCCAGAAGAGCATTGTGGCTCAGAACATCTGGATTGCTGAATACAGTTTGTTAGTTTTGTGTTTCCCGTTTCTGTTGTGGATTATGTAAGCCAGTGGTGGCTAACCTTTTTGGGCTCCTGTGGCAAAAAAAATGTGCGTGTGCTTGCATGCTCGCGTGCCAGCACCCAGAAGGCAATGTGCATGCCATGTGCGTACAATCCCCATCCACCCACCCTCGCTGCCCCCTTACCTGCACTGCACCTCACAGCTGATTTTCGGCTGGTTTGAGGCCTTTTTCGGCCTCCCAAAGGCTTGAGGAAGGCTTCTGCAGGCTTCGCAGGCCAAAAACTAGCCCAGTTTTGTCACTTCCTGTTTTTCCGAAAATACCAAAAGTGACGAAACGGGGCTAGTTTTCCGCCTGCAAAGCCTGCAGAAGCCTTCCTCGGGAGGCTGAAAAAGGCCTCAAACCCTCTGAAAATCAGCTGTGAGGCGCACGCATGCCCAGTGAGGTAAGTTTGCCTGCAGCTCGCGTACCGGCACAAATGGCTCTGTGAGCCGCCTGTGACACGCGTGCCCTAGGTTCACCGTCACGGATGTAACCAGTAAGTTTAGTACTGACCATCAGAAATGAAAATAAACATCGGCCAGTATGCACGTGTGCGTGGGACATAATGAGTCCATTTTCAGGAACTTGGATGAGCAGACGATGAATTCTTTATCAAAGAAAGCTAAACCCTGGGATTAAAGTTAGAACCACAAATGGGATGAGAAACGGGCATTAATAGTCATGTACAGATAGTCCTCAAGTTACAACAGTTCATTTAGTGATTGTGCCGTTACAACAGCACTGAAAAAAGTGACTTATGATCGTTTTTTACACTTATGATTGCTGCAACATCCCCTTGGTCACATGATCAAAACTCATATGCTTGTGTTCTGACCCAACCGGGTTCCCAAAGAGCAAACACAGACAAAAGCAGCAGCCTCCACTTTTTAAGGTTTAATCACAAATTCTGTTCCTTTACAGATCAAAGGCTGCTTTCCACTAATTAGCTCTGACAAGAAAGAGCCCTGCCCAGGTGTTTGTCAATGCTGCCCAAAACCCAGAGATAAGGGCTAATTTACAAGATTCTCCAAATACAAACTAAGATGTCCACCAGTTGAGCTTCAGAGCTTCTTTGCTTTCTGCAGAGAACACTTTTTCAAACCTGGCTTTTATCCTCTTGAGGGAGGGGCCATTACCTTGCAGCCTTACTCCTGAGTCACCTGTGCTGCCGTAACTGTTCTTTCCTCCAAGCAATCCTTCGTGCACGTGCACGTGTATCTTTGAGAAAACGTTGGGGCTCTGGAGTTTTTGGATTCCATGCAGACATTGAGATTTTAGCATGTGATGGACCTAAACTTTTTCTAATCTAGAACTATAATCAAAGGGGGCGGATTTATAGTGGCTTTACGTGCAACGCAGAGCCATGCAATTCAATACAATACACGCAAGTCTCCAGAAGAATATGCCCTACATATTACCAGTTGGTTAGGTAATATTCTGTCTTACCTGTTTATGCTGCTGCCAGATCCCTGCACAGGTTATGCTTTGATCCATTTCTATGCCTTTTTTCGTTTATTCCTCCCCTATTTTAGGCACACTTTATAGCAGGCCATTTTACAGATTATAAAGACAAAATAGGCATACTACTGAGAGTATCATTAAGAGAGGGTTTCAGGCAGTCACAGATCCCCGATGAACATTCCAGCACAATTTATGTTTGCAAACAACCCGTTGTCTCTCACATACAGTCCTCTGTGTTGTGGAGATGCACTGAAAATAGAATTTGTGACACATTCCAAACTTTTTGTCTTCCAATTGTTTAAACAAACCTTTTTGACCTGAATGAGGCTTGCAGAAAGGGTGTGTAGCTAATGACACTTATCTATCCTGTGGAAAAGAATATGTTTTTTTTTTGTAAATGAAACCATTCGCTGAAAGAGCCATTTAAAATACTGATCTTGCTAGGCTGAATGTATTTCACCTCGGCTGGCTTGGTGTGCATTCTTCATTTTTTTATTTTTTATTTTTTGGTATTGATTTTTTTCCCCCTGACGTGGTAGAATCAAATGTGTTGAGATGTTATCCCTGTTATCCGAGGGCTGCAAGCTTCTCTTCCAAGTGACAGAAGGAGAATTCCGCATGGATCAAATAAATACAGATGTGTAGTAATTAGTTTTATTCCCAGCGAGCCCATTTCCGACACACTAAAGATGTGAGTGATTATGGAACCTCACCCCAACAGCTTTTATCAATTTAAACTGCTACGCTACAGGATAGGTCATAACCCAGCCTGCTATTAATAATGTATTTATTGCACTCAACATTATAAATTAGCTGGGTGGAAGGAAGAGAAAAGCACACTTCTTAACAAGACTAATGTCTTCCTCCTCCAGAATCGCCCCATGTCCCTGGCTACCTTCTTGAAATACAGCCCCAGGACCCTGAAAAGGGTCAAAAACCTGGTCCAGGGCAAGGAAGCCTATATCGTGGGTGGCCTTCTGAATCAAGATGACCTGGAAGTGGCCGATGTGCTGGACCTGCCCATTCTCGGCTCTGATCCGGAAGTGGCTCATCTCTACAGCACCAAGTCCGGAAACAAAAGAGTCTTTGATGCTGCAGGTGTTCCGGTACCTCCTGGGCAGTACGACATCTATAACAGGCAGCAGGTAAGACTGGCCACAGATTGGGCAGATGAGGAAATCTGAGCTGAGACTATTCGGACGCGCTATTTATTTTCCTTCCATTCTTATTTGGAAAGACCTCAACTTCTGGTACCAGAGGACTCGAGGTCCTTGATTGACTCAGGCCCGGAACTCAGTTCCTGAATGGTCTGTAAGGGAGAGTTATGGTATTTAATGCTTTTTTAATGGAAAAAAAATTATGTTTGGGCACCAACCACAAGCATCTTTCCACTAAGAGAGCCCACTTGGTTCCACACGAAGTACAGAGGTAAAAATGCCACTTGACTGCAGCTCTGGAGATAGTTTGCCTCCTTCTGGTGATGGGCATTCTTGATTGGCTGCACTCACCATGGCCATGGTTTTATGAGAGGGCCAACAAAACCTCCAACTGAAGGCTCCATTTTGAGATCTTAAAACAGCGTTCCTCAATATTGGCAGCTTTAAGACGGGTGGACTTCGACTCCCAGAATTCCCCAGGCAGCCATACTAGCTGGAGATTTCTGGGAGTTGAAGTCCATCCATCTCTCACAGTTGAGAAACACTGCATTATACTAATAATCCTCAGCAGCAGCAGAAGTGTTTGCTTGGAAATAAGTGCCGTTGAAGTTAATGATATAACTTTTTCCCCTCCCAGACCCTTTTCCCCTTGCTGGTTTTCTGCGCCCACCCCATCGCCAATCGGTTTTAAAAGATACGGTTTTGCAGCCGCCGCCTTCTCCCAGAGGAAGGACCTTGAGAATTCCTCTTGGGTGAGGCAGGCTTCTTTCCAGGGGGGAAGGGGGGGGCTGCTGGGGATTTGCAGGGGTTCAGCTGAGCCCCTAGCTAAGATTCAGTGCAGTTCAGAGAACCCCCCCCCAATTCCACTCCTGGCTGGCCCTGCCCATCCGGCCCCTCCCCTCCCAGGTGTCCCCCACATGGCCCGTTTTGGATGCAGGTAAAGGCCGGGCGCACATGGAGCCTCGGGGAGGGTGAAAAACGGGCCATTTGCGCCCTCCTGGCAGCTCAAGGAAAGCCTCTGGAGCCTGGGGGGAAATGCCCCCCCCCTCCGCTGTGGTGCAGGAGGCCGACTAGGCCACGCCCACAATGACCACACCCACCCAGCAACCGGGCAGAGAACCCTTTGCTAAAAAAATGTTGAAGCCCACCCCTGCTTCTTTCCCATCAGGTTCACTTTTCCCCCAAGCATTCGCCCTTCCTTCCATCCTTCCCCCCACCCGCCCCCCCAATGCTCCATGGCAGCCTGGCATTGAACAACTGCAAAGTGCAGGCGTGAGGTGGAAGCGCTGACGGTGCCCTATGGACCACATTAAAAATGAAGGGTCTTCTACAGCATGGAACAGAACTGCTAAAGAATTACAAGCGAGCAAAACATCAGTGTGGTGTCACTGGTGGTTCTCTGAGCATGGTGGTTTTCTGGTGCAAATGTTTCATTACCAAACTAGGTAACATCATCAGTGCTGACAGAAAACCACCAAACTCGGAGAGCGCCGATTCAACCCTGAGCTACACGTGTTTTTTTTTAATATATTGATCTAAAAGTAGTGTGTCATCAAATGACTCATTGCAGTTGAATCATATGGAGCCGGGGTCTCCAACCTTGGCAACTTTAAGACTTGAGGACTTCAACTGCTAGAGTTGGCTGAGGAACTCTGGGAGTTGAAGCCCACAAGTCTTAAAGTTGCCAAGGTTGGAGACCCCTGATATAGAGCTGATGTATTCCTGAGCCCAGCACTCAGCACATCTGTGTCCCAGGTAAGTTTCCAGCTTCTGCTGATGTCATGCAAGAAACATTGGCTCCTAAGGTTATAGCAGTTACGCATGGAAAAGATGGGTGTCTCTGGAGGACAGAAGATCTGGTATATACAGCTCCATGCATATTGCTTCCATTTGGGCCAGATCCTACCTGGGAGAGAGAGAGCCAAACTGGAGACTCTCCTGCAGACATCCAGGTTCGACGTCCAGATGCTTTCTGGGAAGCCTGTATCATTAGAAGATCATTGGGCCCTTCTCCAGGGTGAGCTTTCCAGAATGAAAACACCTGAATAGGTCTCCTTCCTGCCTCCAAGCATTGCTTTTTAATGCATGGTCCTTGTTTTCAAAGATTGGAGCCTTCTGGAGCACCAAAAGCAATCATGAACAATTCGGTTAATACTTATTTATCAGATTAACTTTTCCAGTTTTCAATTTTTAGAAAAATCCTCTACCTGCTTGGGTTCTAGGAAAACCTAAAGATATTAAGAGGTTGAGGTAATTGTCTGTAAAAAGTCCCAAAAATCCATTCCTTGGCTATATTGGAGCTGTTTTAGAAGGCTGCTGTGTACCTGAGAAAATAGCTACACTGGCGGCTGATTATTTTATGAGGTCAGATATCCTCAGCTGATCTTTGAGTTTCCAGGGCATTATCCCTATAATGAGCATAGGGATTTTTGCAGGTTTAAGGACTATAGCCTTACCTACCAAACATCCTGAGAGCTCCCCAAGAAAACAAATCTTTGATTTATAAGGATGTTAGTGTAAGAATGAGGATTTTCTGGGAAGCAGAAAACCAACCTTCCTTCCTTCTTTCCTTCCTTCCTACCTTCCTACCTTCCCTCCCTTTTCCTTCCTTCCTCGCTCCCTCCCTTTTCCTTCCTTCCTTCCATCCATCCATCCATCCCTTCCTCAAATCAATAAGTAAAGATTGCCATTCAATAAATAAAGTTTCCCAAAATTCAGCCATTTTGCTAGTAAATCTGGTGTCTCTATCTGGGGGTGCTGTGTGTGAAATTGGGGACCACAAGCCTCACATTAGATTAAAAGTAGATGATACAGGCAGGTCAACTTATAGCATGAATTAATCAGTTATATAAAAATAATATACTATAGTGTCATGTGTCCAATGTGCTGACCACAGTGTTGTTTTCATTGTTATGAACTGTACCCTGAAATTCTACTTTCGCATCTATTTGTCTCATGTTATTTTTATTTCCTGCTGTAAGCTCCTTATGAAATATTGACGGGAGGTGTTAAATAATCAAAGGAAGGTGACAATAATTTAAGGCACAGTTCAATTTTCACTTAAAGATAGCTCATAATTCTTTCCATTGGTGCAATGTTTACAATTTTATTGATCCATTTCATTTCTGTAGGGGTCGTCAAGAGAAAACCCATTTATTGGACTTTCAGAAAGAGCAAATAATGAGGCACGGAGCAAATAAATAATAATTCTATGTGGATTGTTCAAATAATAAAAGATTCCTTAAATTCCAGTATACGAGCCACTGTAACAGATTCCTCTCAAGTCAGTCTCTTTCAGAAATTTATACTTTCCATCTCCTTAACAAGGAGTGTTTTTCTATCTAGTAAAAAAAATGGACAGTACATTATTATTAGTATAAATTAGTATTATTTGACTATTTGAAATTACTGTTTGAAAAGGACTGTGTCAATATTTGAAATAATACATTTTAAACAGTTTTTTAATAATATGTCATCATATTATAAAAAAGATGTTGAGATGATTAAGGAGCTGGAGGCTAAAACATATGAAGAATGGTTGCAGGAATTGGGTTTGCCTGGTCTAGTGAAAAGAAGGACTAGGAGTGACATGAGAACAGGGTTGCAATATCTGAGGGGCTGCCCCCCAAAAGAGGCGGTCAACCTGTTTTCCAAAGCTCCAGAAGAAAAGACAAGAAACAATAAATAGAAACTAACCAAGCAGAGAAACAACCTAGAATTAAGGAAAAACTTCCTAACTGTGAGAACAAGTGGAACAGCTTTGCCTTCAGAAGTTCTGATTGCTTCATCCCTGGAGGTGTTTAACAAGAGCCACTTGTTTCAGATGGTATAGGTTCTCCTGGGTGAGCAGGGTTGGACTAGAAGACCGCCAGGGTCCCTTGGAACTCTGTTATTCTGTTCTTGTCATGCCCCAGTTGAAGTCTGTTTTCAAAAGCTTTTAATTATCCAGAAATCTTTATTATCCCTTTGACTTTTTATTTTCAGCATTAAATGCCTCTATTGATGTCAAAGTGGATTTTTTTTCCAATTTCTTTCTTAAGTCTCTTAGCTGTCAGTATAGGAAAAGGAGAAAACCAAATCTTTTCCCTTTTCTCTCTCCTTTGCAGCTTAAAAATCTTCTTAGGGAACAAGGTTATTGTTTTTTAATAGTTTCAATTCCAGGGTACCCTATTTGTTGCTTTTGCTGTTTGACCCGGTCAACCAAAACTTTCTCTTCTTATCTTCCTCCTGCACATTCTTTTCTGGTCGAGTTCTTCTTTGTGGTGGCCATTTCTGACCACCACTGCAACCGCCTTTGGGAAAGGGCGTAATGGCCAGCTGGGGAGGAGAGATGCGGCTCTCCTCAACCCTACTGGCAGTCTCCCCCCTCTTCACCACCTCTACGGGGTGGCTTAGCCCCGAAACCAGCCGTCTCAGGGCGCTCCAGCAGCGAGCACGGATCGAATCCACGCAGAGACGAGGTTTTGGTCTGTCGCTGAAGAAGCTCAAACCGGAAGTCCCAAAAGTGTGCATTATTCTTGTAGGAGCTTATCTGTGTTTTGGCTTCCTCCCAACTGTAGTTGCTGCGTTCTCTGGTAGAAGCCTGCAATTTATCATCCTGGCCTGCTGTATTAATTCCTTCAGCGTGGTTTGTGTTGGGTTTTTTAGTTTTGAATTAACTTTACGTTCGGACTGCATTTACTCCCTCCGTAAACTCTTTTCTTTAAGTGTTTGATATCCAGCCAAGGATAGTTGGACATTGGGGCCAAGTTGGAGGCATTAAAGGGAATCTATTCTATTTTTGTGACTTGGTTATTTTTGTGACACGCCCTGGGTCATCACAGTTCTCTTCTTCATTGTATATTATCTAGTGCTCTTACGTTCCTTCTCTCTTAGTTTTACCTCTGTGTTGCGCAGAACATCTGTTCAGAAGTTTGGAACACGAGTTACAGAACGAGAAGAACTAAAATGGAAAATAAAATCTTCACGTTTTTGTCCTCCAGATGATTGAGGCCCTCAGTCAGCTGATTATAGACAATCCAGAAGTGCAGCGTTGGGTGTTCAAGGTGGATAATGAATTTGGAGGAAATGGGACTGCATTTTGTGACATCACTAAACATCTCCAATGCTACGCTTGGCTTATGAAGGAGCATCATCGATACGGACCAGAGATGTGGAAGAAGAGATGGGCTCATGTAAGTCACTTTTGGATTTCATAAATTTTGAGCAGGTGATCTCAAAAGGCAAACCCTGGAAGGGAAAGTCCAGGTGATACTTCTCCTTTCAGGCTGTCCATTCTGGGTCAGTCACCATTAGAAGTTCTTTTAATTGTAGCGGATATTAGTTTGATAAATATAATAATTTATCAGGAATTCAGTGGTAGTTATTTTCAAACAGTGCTTTGATTAAGGACAAATCAGGTTGATCTCATCTTCTGTTGCTTTAGCCAATATTAATAATGTATAAACAATAGTGACATAACAGTTTTTGTGGAATAAGAATTCACGCTTCAGTATGCAAGTTCTTGCAAGCGTCTACCAAAATAAATTTGTTAGTTTACGTGCATTATGCCATATTTTTAAATCTTTGGGAAGAAAAGAAACAAGTGACAAAAACACAATAGAATACATGCAATGTATTAAAACAATCCACTCTTTACTCCATGAACTCTTATCTGAACTTCTGTGCCTTAATAGAAGTATCTCCTTATTTACCCATCACCTCAGCAGCGTTTTATTCCAGTCGCGAATCCCAGTGCTCAAAACTCCTCCTCAAAGATGTTTTCCCCAAAAGGCAGCTGCATTTTCTTGTTTTTCCCCCCCCCCTTTGAAAATATTTCGCTTCTCATCCAAGAAGTGGCTCCGTTCCAACCAAAGACAACCGTAACTTGGATGATTGAGAATCTCCGCGGACAATTCCTGGTGGTTTTCTTCGTCCTTCTCTTCCTCTAGAGGAAGTCCTCGGATTATGACCCTCAGATGGGGACCAGAATTTCCATTGCTAAGTAAGCAGTTGCTAAACAAGACATCACACGGCCACCACGGTTGCGACACAGTTCCCGTTGCAGTTGTTAGGCCGGGATCTCATGCTTCTCTGCTCTGCACAAACGGCTTCTGCTTCTACTCCACCCATCTCATCTGTCCTCCCCACTCCAAAGGTTGCATTGGGGTGAAGTTGCTCGACTTCTAACATCTCACCTGGCCATTTTCCATGCCTTTCTTTTTTCTGCTCTGCATCCATCTTCCTTCTAGAAACAAATTTCAGTCTCTATTATTGAGTATTCCCTCCGAATGCCAAGGATTAAAACCTCCCTTTGTTCCTGAGAGCTGTTGTAATACTTCTGCGTTTAGATTTCAAAGCATTACTTTATGAGCACGGGCATGCTTTAATGTCCTATTACAGTACGGAGACCTGCTTTTGATAATGAAGACATTGTGTCATCAACTTAAGCTGCCAGATACCAAGCATATGCTGGCAGGTTATTAAAAAAATTCAGCTTTTGTGATAAAAGACTATCCTGCAGGCTAAGAGTACATGGCAAAAGACTCTCCATTCCAGTAGAGTTATTAGAAATGAGAATATGACTCTAAGCACTAAATTATGTTAATACTTACAAATAGCATCATTTGCATAGCGGTTTATGACACGATCCCAAGGTTTCTTTCCCCCCTTCATTGGTATGTAGCAGGGCAACGATTAAGCAGAAAGCAGTTTATAGGCGTTCCTACTGTGTGTTGTGCTGCTCCATTTTAAAATGTAGGCCAGTTGTTGGGTCCTTGAGACACAACAATGACCATCTTGACCAGGATGTACACCCGGTTATCTTGATTTCAGCTTTTGAAAGCACATAGCTTCAAGAGAAGATCAGTTATCCAAGGGTTTAACCGAGTCATTTCAATCTCAAGCAAACTGTACTCACTTTTCAGTATTTAGTTCCAGTAGTTCGCGTCTGTGACAGTTCTCTTGTAGGCTTAATGGTTATGGAATCTGGGAGGAAGTTCTTTGATGAGCATTGATGAGCTAACTTCTGAATATCTCCAGCCTTGAGATAAAATGAGAGATGGACTGGAACAAAACAGAGAGAAACAAGGAAGCTCATCCCATTTCCAGCTCCCAACTACATGCAGTTCAGTGGTGAGAAAAGTAAAACCCAGGACTTTGGCAGGGAAAACCAGGTGTACAGATATCAGATAGGTACCTAGCTCAACAGCAGTGCCTGTGAGAGGGATCTAGTTGTCCTAGCAGACAATCCCTCAAGTAGAAGCCAGCACTGAACTGCAGCTGCCAAAAAAGTCAACAATCCTGGGCTGCATCAACAGAGGGCTAGCATCAAGGTCACAAGAAGAGACAATACTGCTTTATACGGCACACTGAACCCCTAAAAAAGAACACAAAGAAGAGCAACGAAGACGATTAAGGGTCTGGAAGCTAAATCCTATGAATAATAGCTAAAGGAATGAGCTATATTTAGCTTAATGAAGAGAAGACTGAGGGGAAATATGGCAGCAGTCTTCAAATACTTGAAGGGTACAGGGAAGAGGATGTCGATTTATGTTCCATAGCACCTGAGGACAAGACAACAAGCAATGTGTAGAAGCTCATCCGAGGTAGACCCAACCATTAAGCAGAGGAATAGCTTGCCTCCCGGAATTATGGCGCTCTATTGCTTGAGGTTTTCAACAAGGGATTGGATAACCATCAGAAGACCTCCAAGATCCAGTTCTACGATTCTGGAAAGAAGTGAACTCACGGTTCATAAGAAGTTGCGGTTCTTTGTGAAAGATTGGCTGGCTTTTGGAAAAACTTGGGGCTGTAGGAATTGAAGTCTCAGTAGCAGATGCGTGCAAGAAGCAACAGGGGGTAGCTGTCACTTTCCCGCTCTTCTCTATGAGCTTCCCAAAGACATTTGGCTGGGCACTCCAGGAAACAGATGGACCTTTGCTACGTGGCTGCCAGGCAGTTTATGACTTCTTAGCGCTTGTTATTTCATTCTCAGATTCTGGGCCATGGAAACGGGCCTCACACACTACCATCCTCAGCCAAGCCATTTCTCATGAGTCATTTCTCACAGGGAAGCAACTTCGTCTTCATGGTTTTAACTATAAGGGTGTAATGTTTGTTTGGGGGGGGGGGGGCTTCTTTACCCCAGGGTAAGAAGCAAACTAGCAAAGAGTCTTGTCAAAGCCTCCAAGCTCCTGAGCATGACCGTTGATGAATCACCCCAGCTGTGCACCCTCTGAGGCAGTGTTTCTCAACCTAAATGGCTGGCTGGGGAATTCTGGGAGTTGAAGTCCACGAGTCTTAAGGTCGCCATCTTTGAAGACCACCCACCCCCACCCACCTGCTCTAAGGAGATAGATTTGTTCAACCTGGAGCGCTAAATTGAACTAGATGTAGCTGTGAGATGGGACTGTGTGTGTTTCCCAGTCAATTCGGTATCATGGATCTGGCCCAGTTCCAGAGAGGGAGCGTGGAGGGAGGAAGAGAGACTTTGAAAACATTCTTCCTTATATTGTACCAGCGTGGAACACTGGTCTAAAACAGCATTTATCTAGACTTTATTTATATGTGGGGGAAATAGATAAAATAATCATGTTTTACTTAGATAAAGTATATTGATTGGCATGTAAAAACAGTGCCTTTCCAGACAACTTGCCCTTGATGGATTTGGCTTTTTCTAACCTCGTATGGATAAAAAATGAAGGCTAACCATGCAAAGAAAATGTATTTTCTGGGATTTTTAACGTCCACATGTTCCCCTCTTTTGCTTAAAACAGCAATGTTTCAACCACCGTGAGCTAGACTGGATGCCTCGGTGACACAAAATATTGGGAAGGGGTATTTGGCTTTCTCCCCTTCCCATCATGCATAAACTCCACCATATCTTTGGGAAAGGAGAATTTATTTTATTTATTTATTTATTTTTGTCGATTGCTTACAAGATAATGGGTAGAAGTAAAACATAGTTATGAATACATGGATACATATAAGAAAAAGAAACAATAGGACAGGGACGGTAGGCACGTTGGTGCGCTTATGCACGCCCCCTACAGACCTCTTAGGAAAGGGGTGAGGTCAACAGTAGACAGTCTAAGGTTAAAATTTTTGGGGTTTGGGGAAGAACCCACAGAGTCAGGTAGAGTTTTCCAGACATTGACCACTCTGTTGCTGAAGTCAGTATTTCCTGCAATCAATTTGGGGGGAATTAGGGGATCCTTTTACCGCTGATCCCCTAAAGACGGTGTCTGTTAACTTTCACCAGATGCTCCTGGGGAACAATGACCAGCTCCCGTTATAGCCTTTGTGCCGTCGTTACATCTTAACATCCAATTGTGGTCTTAAACCAACAAACCTGGCATTTGCGGCGGTAGGATTTTGATAGCCGCATCTGAACATCATGTAACTTAATAGTCGATGCTAAAATTATATTAGTTAACAGGAGAGGTCTCTGCTATTCTCTCCACTTCATGGTTGTCGATAGGCTGTCATGTTGTGTTTACCGATTACATCAGAAAACACGCTGGGTAGGGGCTGCTCAGTTGGCTATTATTATATTTAATGCGGCTACTGGTGTTCAGATTTCAGGTGATTCCCTGATTCCTTAGTAAAATAACAAGGCACCACAATTACGTCCCTTGGTTAAATTCCTAGGACCTCCAATAATCAGATAGGCAAGCTGTTGATTCCTATTGATTTAATATTCTTCTAATCAGTACATAAAGCTATGGGCCTGTGGTGTTAATTTTTCATATGCTTACAAAGCACCCTTTGATTTTCTGTCACGCGTTAATTACAGTGTTTTGCCATTAAATAGGAAGCTTTGTGTAAACTAATTACTAGGTAATCATCGTCTACGGAGAGCCGGAGAGCCGCCGTGCTGTTTGGTACCTTTTATTTTATTTGGGGAAAATTCACAGATCTCAAGCAGTCTGGAACCACTATACCTTCCAGCCATTAGCTCTCACTAATTCATAGCATTATTGTGTTAAGATTGTCGGAGTTGTAATTGTTGTGGTATCAGTACTGTTAATTACCGGAGTAAACAGTTGAAATTGTGCCAAGGTCTATTGTACAAAGCAGAGAAAAGGGGGTTTAAATGTTACCATCTGGAGATGAAGACTTTGGAAACGGTACGAAGCAGCAGTGAGGGGCCCCTTCAGAGCTTCGGGGTTTGAGGCCATATGGACCCAGAATA